AAAAAAATCATTTCATTTTTGACTGTTAGAAAATAATAGTGATAATCAAGTCAGTAATACTGACTTTTTGAATGACACATGTGAAAATCCATGATAAATGTGATCTCCAGACGATGAACCTTCAAGAGATGGAATCATACGTAAAAAGATAAGACGTCGTTAGGCCTTAGCTCGCACAAGTTTAGACTTTTGAGAGTTGTCGTTCTCAGGGGGGCAAGGGCTGGTTAACGGAAAAACAGATTTAAATAAGGATGGTATGGGGTCGTAACATTTTCCGATGACCTATGTCAGTTTTTAACTATTTTTCGAAGTGGATTCTACGGATAATATGAGTATTAAACGAGGTTTCAGCTGATTCCAAAAGATCTTCACGGCCTGCACTAATAATCCATATTCTCGCGCTGAAAAAACAGGAAGTTAATTCAAGAAGAATTATTGACTTAGGTGTTTCTCAAGATTGAAGGTATTCCGGAGTTCCCATCTAGGTCTAGAAGTTAGTTGAACCCTATCACATTCAAGTAATAAAGATACTTCTCAAGTTCAAGCGATTATCCCATTCCTTATTGATGTCTTCTCGGAAATGATTCTATCCTTTGGCCGGTTTCATCATTTGCATGAGTCGCTTATTTATGGTAATAGTTGTTGGTTCACAGATGGATCAAAAACACTTTACGGTTCTGGTGCAAGTGTTTTCAGTCGCAGACCCAGGACAGAGATACCAACCTGCCTAGGAACCTATGCGACCGTATTTCAAACGGAAATTTATGCTATTGAATTGTGTGCGGAGAGATTGGAAGAATCCAACCTCATACAAAAGTCAATAAAAATATCTCGGGACAGTTAAGCGGCGTTGGAAGCTTTGGTTCCTACCAAGCAAATTGGTAGCAAATTACCAAAAACGACTCTCCTCGATAGCGAGACTTAACAGATTGTCTCTGATCTGGATTCCTGGCCATACTGGCCTGGAAGGTAATGAGGCTGCTGACTTTCTTGCAAAAGAGGGTGCTGCAAGCAGCTTCATCAGAGCAGAACCTATCATTGGCATCGCTTTAGACTTTGCCAAACAAACATTGAACACCTGCAAGAAGATTTATAGACTTTTGGCAGAATCTTCCAGAATTGGCTCACTCCAAGATTTTTATTCACCATTCGAAGCTTGATACCAAACAGTCTAACAGGCCTTCTTACAGGTCACTGTCATTTGAATCATCATATGCAGAGACTCGGACTGTAGGAAGACAGTGTGTGTTTGCAAAATGATAAAACATACTTTGTGCTCTTTGGTCGAGTGTGAATAGGTGTGAGCCACAATAAACCCTTGCGGGTTGCGGTGGAGGTTCGAATAGGCCCACTCACTTTGGACCTAACCTATTTATGGTTCACTGAATAATTCATTTATACCATAGAATATCAATTCGATATCATTCAAAATCAAATTCATCTTGTCGAAAATATGGGGCGTGTATCAAGGTCATTCAGGTTCAAACCCAAAAAACTACCACAACAGACCCACTCACTTTGGACCTAACCTATTTATGGTTCACTCAATAATTCATTTATACCATAGAATATCAATTCGATATCATTCAAAATCAAATTCATCTTGTCGAAAATATGGGGCGTGTATCAAGGTCATTCAGGTTCAAACCCAAAAAACTACCACAAAGTCACCTTGTCCGCGTCGTGTGACGTGGATCGAAGTCTTTCAAGTTCAAACCCAAAACACTTCCTCAAAATCACCTTGACTACATCGGGCGACGTAACTAATGGTAGCTTGAAGGGTAAAAGTGATTGAGGGGAGGGGTTCCGAATACTGCTTAAACTAACTACTGAGGTTCATGAAAAACTGTCGAATTCCAAAATATCAACGTTAATTTGGCATACTTACATTATTTGAAATAATCATTAATGAAAAATTCTCGAAAAGAATCTTTCGTTACTGATTGTATCAAGTGGAGTAGGGGTAACCTGTTGAAAAGTGATACCAAATTATTAACTTCGAATCCCATCTTTAGATAAGACGATCTATTCAGAGTTGGTCAAAGGTTGACCAATTCTAATTTTTCATAAAATAAAAAACATCAAATTCTACCTTCTCCTCAACACGAACTAACAAAAATTATTTATTTAATTCGAACATAAACACCTTTTACATGCAGGGCCTCAATTATTGCTTACTAATACTAGGTGAATCAAATATAAACGAGACATTTTTTGGTAATTTATTTTTATTTTAAACGCAAAAAGAATATACCTAGTTTATTTTTCTACATAATCTCTTGATTTGGAAACATATTTTTCCCAGCGGATAGGCAGCTTTCCAATTCCTTCTACTTAGAAAGATGCAGGTCGTGTCTGCAGCCAATTGCGCACGTAGGCTTCAACCTCAGCATCACTATCGAATCTTTGGCCTCCCAAAGCTTCCTTGAGAGGGCGAAACACATGAAAGGCACAGGGTGACAGGTCTGGACTGTAAGGAGGGTGTTCAATGTTTCCCACCCCAGTTGCTCCAATTTTCCCTAGTCAAGGCTGCTGTATGGAGGCAAGCATTGTCATGGAGAAGAACCACCTCCCTGATCGATAGGTCTCGTCTTTTGCGGCGATATGCCTCACTCAAAACGTCGCAGTAGTAGGCCGCATTAATTGTCCTGTGCTCATGCAAAAAATCGAGATACTGCAATCCACGCTCGTCAAAAACAAACGGTAACCAGAACCACAAACGTGACTTGGCTTTCACTGGTCCAGGTTCTCCTTGTTGTCTCCACTCCATACTCGCTTGTTTAGACTTTGGGGTGTAGTAGTGCACCCATGTTTCATCATAGGTGATAATGTGAGTGAGAAATTGGTATCCTTTTTCCTGAAATCGTGCAAGAAGACACCCACACACCTGAAGACGATACAATTTCTGGTCAGCTGTGAGAAGGCGAGGAACCCACCTGGTGTACACCTTACGGTACCCTAGCTCCCTTGTGAGTATGGAGTAAGTGCTCCCATAACTTATGCCGACCTCACTTGCAATTTCAGAAGTGGTACGACGTCTGTCATCTTCTATAAGCTGTCGAACACTGCTGATGTTGTCCGCTGTAATGTTGGTGCGAGGTCTGCGGTCATGCCTAACGGTCGAAAAATCTCGTTGATATTTGATTTACCCACTTATCGTGAAAAATTTTGGTCTATTTCTGGCAAAAACTTATCGAATAAGATCTCGTCGGATATTATATACAATGTTGTGAATTCAGTTACCAGTTAATTCAACCCACAATGGGTAACTTGTCAAGTTTCAGATTGGATTCTGCTTCCCCTTTCAGTAAGATAGACTTATTTTACGCAGGGCTGGTTTTGGTTAAAGAGAGAAGGGGCCGAGATACAAAAACATCGAAACCTTGTTTCCACTATATCAACCGAAGCTTTCATTCAGGTACTTAGATGTTTTGTTTCCCGCCATGGAAAACCATCTGATATTTTTTCCGACATCGGTGCAAACATGAATTCTGAATTACAGGTAGGTTTTTGATAGAAATTTCCGCAAGGCCTTCGACGGGCTATTTATAGACACGCGCCGTCGGCCCCCAGGCCGGTACCGCCGCAACCTCTATGTCCCTGGAATTCAAATCTGTAATATCTTCGAGAATATTCATTTGAATTACATGCTGTAAAGGGCCATATTGATCTATATTGAATGCACAATGTATTTAAGTTACTTAATTGGATAAGGACTAGTGCTGTATTATTTAAAATATCTTCGTAATAAGTCATTATTTCTCGAGGATAAGAAATGGTAATTGTGGGTTATCCCCAAGAAATTGACATATAACATAAACGGATTTTTTTGTAGACTTTTTAAAGGTGTTATTTTGATCTATTTTGTAAGGTTCAGCCAGCGTTTGCAATGTAAGCACACAAAATGTGTTTATTTACGACATCACATTAGAAACCTCTAAAATTATCTTATGTTTCTCTACTATATTATGTATGTAATATACATATGAACCTTCCTCTTGAATAATTTTATCTATTAAAGAACCACATCAAAATATGTTGCGTAGTTTTAGAGATCTAAGCATACGCAGGTGAAACAGCGGGAAGCGACTTTGTTTTATTCTATGTAGTGATTATTTTTATTAATTTTTAAGGTTACAGTTCAATGAATATTTTAAGAAAATTGAGAAGAAAATCATTTGAAAAAATTATCAAACAAATTTATTCAACCACTTAATAAAACATTCAATACGAAAAGGTACCTACTAAAACATTATTTACACACTGATAAATTTCGAGTGACATTTTCACCCACATTTCAAAATGAAAAAGCAACTACAAAACTGAGATTATGATCATCACATTCAAAAAACAAATATAACAATAATTAATCAGATCTATTGACTTTCCATTAGTTCGGACTTCTATTGTCTGACACTATATGAAATGATTTGAAATCCCTGCGATTCCAAGAATTGCATTTACCGGATGCCCTATGAGTGCGAAAAATCCTATATCGGTGAATCTAAGAGGCCTTTGAAAGTTCGCATTGTCGAACCCAAAAAACACACACAGCGAGGACCCATCAACATAACATCGAGTGGTCCCAGCTGAGATCATACACAGGAAGGTACATTGGTTTACGAGTAAATTCAAAGAAGCCGCATACATGTTGTCCAACAATTTAGCCAAGCTAGCGTAGAGATACGCAACATATGGAAACCTAAAATCAAGCGAAAAATGGCCAACTTCCACCAAATGGCCATCTCTCGCTAAACCGGTGAAGCGGAAAAAGGAAAGCGGAGATAAGTGAAAGTACTCGAATGATCCATAAATAGTCATCTCTCGGAGACAATTGTGGATACTAACAATCGAAACGTCATGAAGTAACTTGTCTTGGAATCTCTTAATTTTTTATTTTTATTTATTTCTTGGTTATCTTCAGCTATTTTTTTTAATTCGTCTTTTTCATTAATTCTTTCAGGTATTTCAAATCATTTTATATAATGTCAGACAATGGAAGTCCGAATTACTGAAATTCATCATGAAACATTGTCAATCACCTTCAAACAAAAGATCTATTGACAATTATATTGGGGAATATCAAAACCAACAAACTCTTACAAAATTGTCACTGATGTTTATTCGATTTATAATTCACAATACATAATATACCAAAACAATGTAACATTCAACTCAGGATTGGTATATTAACTTATTCCCCTTATATTAATTTATTATTATTCTTATTTTGGTTCAAACAAATATAGAATAGTTATTAGAAACCTTACTGATTGTAGGTACATTAATAACAGAATGGTTCAACAAATTTTTAAAACTGCAACACTGAAATAAACAAGTCATCAGTAAATAACTACCAGAAGTCAATGGCTATCAATAATAATTTCTTCTAGCCTTCTTCAATAATGTTAAAATTATTCAACAATTTGTGTTTTTGTTGTTACAGAAAAAATTGGTGAATTCTGAGCCTGACAATCACCCTTATTGTCGTTTTATTCTCCGATTTGTCAAAGTTCAAATTATTTTCAGTAAACTATTTTCAAGCAAATCTATAATTCAGTATTTACATAATTGAAAAAGTTTGGCACACAATAAATTTGCGAAGCCAAGAGTAGGGTATACAATAAGCAGACACATTCAGCAAGGGGCAAAAATGCAAAATAGTATGGAATCACAAATGAAAAATAGGTCTCTAGAAAGAGATGTTCTTCATGAAAGTGTAACATTGAATTAAAATATGAATACTCTGACCTACTTAAGTTCTATAGACATATCTAATATATGACATTGTTTGATCTAAACTATAGAAAGACATGCAGTGGAAACATGCAGCCTGAATAACCCTTAGCATTTCGCACATTTCATTTCATGCAGCATGAAATAATTTAACATTACATTAAAAGGGTAGATCAACTTTCAACTTCTTAATATTAAATTTTCGACCTGTTGCCCATTTTCTGCGCAAAGTTCAATGTTTTCTAGTATTCGGTTTCATCTCTGATATACAAAGTTGCTAATATTTGAGCGATATTAAATTTGTCATTCATCATTGTATTGTTGCTGCCCCTCGGATTTAAATTGTCAAAAATTGTTAAAACGGCTATGCCAAATATTTATTAATGAAAATTTAATGATAATTTATTGTTAATTTGAAATAGGCTGCATATTTCCTATCGTACAATTTAGATTGTAAGAAAGATGAAAACTAGAGACTATCACCTAACTCAATAGCCGTCCCAACACATAAAAATCTCCTAGAGAAAGTCTATAGATGCCATCAACATAAAAATGTAAGGTATGGAGAAAAAAGTAAATACATTTTTAAATAAAATAAGAAAAGAAAAGTTTTAGAAGATTCTCACATTTTTTTTGTATTAAGATGGAGAAATAGAAGGCCAAAACCTTTCTTTTCCAAAAAAATAAATATCTTTTACTAAGAAACAACTAATACTTTTTCACCACTAACAATTAAAATTCATCAAAATTGATAACTGAAACTCTAGTTCTATTGAAAATTAAATCGTGATGAGCATTTGGTATAGGAAATACTCCAGCAAAAGGGTCTATTTCTTTTTTAACATAAAATATTTTTGCTGGATTTCCTCTCTTGAACCCATGAATGATTTTCTGGATGTCGCTTATTTGCTTTGAAGTGCTTTTTCTAATAACTAGGAAAAAGAAAATAAGCTGAGGATTATTCTCCATAAAAAATGTAAAAGGCTCGATTTCAGCGTAAGTGAAACGTAGGTTCTCACATTCCAGAAATATTCGAAGGAGTTTCTTGTCGATTTGGGTGAGACTAGTTAGCAGTTTGTCAATAACGATTTCATTGTGTTCTAATCTGAAACAAATCGCAGCCATAATCTATTAGAGTTTCTAAAAAAAATATGTTCCCTACCTAACAGAGGTAGGTTTAAGCCTAAAACCAAGAATTTACAGTTCAAGCATGGCCAAGTGACAGAAGCATTTGTGAAAACTAGATCACTACTTAAAATTAAGAATTATATCCGAAATGTGCTGAATTCACATTTTTATAACTGACATTACATTTAGGGCAACGAATCATTGCACAAGCATCATCAATGAAATATACAATAGACCAAGCATTTTTTTTTTCTACAAGCGAAAAACAAAAACAAAATAGTTAACAATTGTGTTCAATCAGCGTGAGGTTTTGTCTGGTTGATATCTTGCTCTTGGTACATAGAAAAGAGAAGCTATACAAACATGAGACGAAGTCCACGTTTGATTATCATATGACAGATTGATGTCTACATAAATAGTTGTTTTTCCAATGAATAATCTGCGTGATTATGAATTGGGAATGGCTGTCTAATGTACCGCATACCGTCAATTGGGGTGACTTTGTCCTCTGGGGTAGCTTTGCCCAGTTTTGAAAAAACAGTTTCGCGCCTCCATAGTTAATGGCTGAAAGATCGTTTGAGGCGCTGCAGTCAATGAAACATACCTCCTCAACGACAACGAGATATTCTAAAGTTTGTAGGTCGCTCCAGATAAGTGCTATCACCAATTAACTATTTTATTTGTAACGTGTGTTATCCATGAAAATTTGAGCTCTTCAAAATTACATATACACAGCTTCTACGAAAACAAGGTGAGTTTCATCACTTATTATTATTAGTAAATGTAATGCAAATTCGTTCCTGCACCCAACTGTTGATTGATATTCGAGTGGGCAATGTCACCCCACGTTTTACACAAAAATTGGGGTCACTTTGCCCACCTTTTATTTGAAGTGTTACATTGTAATTTTAGTTTTTTTACTTTCTCATCCTTCAGATAGAGACAAAAATTGTATGTGGTTCATAACACTTCTGTCGACAGTCGTGGCAACTATACTAGTTATTTTTGATTTTTTTGAGCAATTTTTGTCTTTACTGTGGCTCTTGTAACACCCTGAGGAGGTGGTTTTGTTTATATTTTATTTATAGCTTTGTTATATAAAGAAAACATCTGTTGGGCAAAGTGACCCCTTTCACGAGGTGACTTTGCCCACCCATAATTTATTTTTTATTTAAGAGGGAAATGATATAAAAATAAAATAACTACATAAATCACATCTACAAACCACCTCTTCCAAAGTTACAAATTTTATTTACGATATCAAAAAATGGGTTATGTGAAAATTATCAACTCAAATGTTGGGCAATGTCACCCCAATTGACCGGTAGGTACTGGAATATTTGAATTGTCAGAAATCAGATTTAGTATTTGCAATATGATTTTCATGAATTCGACCCAAAATCATAACATGAGGTTACTTTTCAGTGAATTTCAAAAGTAAAAGCAATTCTTCATCAAAAGGTTAGGTTGTTCGGATCAGTAGCCATGTCATTTCATTTTCATTACTTTGTCAACTTACTTTGGATGCACAAATTAATAACTAATATGCAAAAATATATTTATTGCATTGTAATTGTGCATAAAAATCGACAAATTATAAATTGTCTATACTTTGAAACAGTTATTTGTGTCATTAGTGCCATTCCTCAACAATTCATTTTTAGCAAAATCAATGATCAAGAGAGAATTAATATGGGGAAATATAAATGAATGAAAAAATGAAACTAAAAAATGAATCACTCTATTATATGAAATTTTTGAAAACTGATGAATGAAGAATTCACTTGTTACCTCAAATGTTTGAGTGCAGCAGAGTACTTCAAATTTTGGCACAAATTTATCATAAATTTTTCATTCTGGGCTATACATTTGAGACTCAACCACTCAATTTTTTGGCATTTCATGAAAACCTAAAAACTACTGATTACAAAAAAATTAAGACAATAAATTTTTTTTATTACCTCCTTCAAAAACGCCCCATCTAATAATAAAGGTATTTCCAATGTCAATTTCTGCAAATTTTCGAAAATTCCTATAAGAGGATAACCAGATATAACACCATTTCCACTGCACCTGAAAAGGAAGATTAGTTTAAAAAGTTTAATCAGAGCCAACTTACTCCCTGCAAGCAAAAATTTCTATTTCTCTTAGTTTCTTTAAGTTTCTAGCAACTTTTTCAAAAGGATGATCAACTAGTCCTGTTTTAACTCCATATCTAACTCTTTTGAAACCAGTATTTTCCTTTGAAGGCGGTGATAGGAAATCTGAAGAAAAAATCTTAAATTATTGAAAATATAATAAGAAATATTTTGGGAGTACTTTTAAAAATTATCCACTTCCCTTTGCAAATTTTTGAATTTTGAAGCATAGATTCAATATTTAGAATCTAGGGTGCTTAGACTTTATATAATGACATTCAGTTTTGAGTAATTAGTTAACAAAATTGGGTCTTTCTATATTGGGATTATTATTCATTATAAATACTCACTTTGGAATAAACAAGATCTGAAATTCAACCTCTTCAACCCTTTTGAGTTTTCGGATTGTAAGATTTGGAGGGCAGCATCTACATATTTTGAATTACATAGCAAAACAGTATGACAGAAATTCAAGTCTTCAAAATTGATTTTTGTCACTTCATGATTCAAATTGAGTAACTGAAACATAAATTGGAATTGATACATAACGAAAGATAACTTCCAGGAAGGCTTATGATATGTTATCAAAAGTTCTGACATAAGAAACAAATTGTTGATTATCAAATTGACTTTGAATTAGGTATTAATCCCTTGTTCAGTTAAAAAAAAACGAATTACCTTTGGTCAGACTATAAAATATTATTACTTAAGCTACCACAATCCATAGCTAAAACAAATCAGAAGTTGCAGATAAATAAAATAATGAAACACAGTCCATATAGGACGAAACTGTATAACGTTAGTTACAATTAAAAGTGGTAAAAAACATAGAAATTTTCATTTCTCTTCTCATTATGATCTCCTACCACGTAGTAACGGCTACATCCATCGACTTCAGTGAATGGATCTATAATATCTATAAATATCTACAGTTGAGGTGTTTTTTCCTCTTTTAAGATTGATGGAGCCTTTATCTGGTAGACCGCGTTTATGTGAAATAAATTTCCTGAAAACGTTCTTCCAAATGAATTTAATCTCCAGCGACTCAAATCCAACGTGAATCGCTACTTTCACACAGGTACCACTCTTGAAGCGCCTTAAGGATTTCTTGTAGTGCTTGTTCCTGTACAAATGATTTAACAACTTGCCTAAAAAACCGATGCCAGTCCCGGAACACAAAATTTTGAAATCAGCGGGACTGAAGCCAGTTGGTTGGCGTAAGTGGTTTGTTCCACTCATTCAATCGGTCGCTAGGTAAAACAGTGGTTCGAGCCCAGAGGCTGGACGATCGATTTCTACTGCCTATCGTCCAACCCGTGCTAAGAATCGCACGTTAAAAGGTAAGACCTAGTCCATCGTTAGCTCGAGAATTTCCGACTTTCGAGAGTCATCGCTCGTAGGGGAAGCGGACAGCTGGTTAACGTCAACTGACGAAGGCCAACGGTGGCCGGCGTTATTTTGTTTCAGGGGACAATTTATAACACTGCCATCTTACCAAGAGGAAAAATAACGACTCATATAAGGACTCAGTCGCTCTTTGTGGACAACTTTAGACTTGCTTCTAGGTGACAATTGGATTCTGTACACCAGATCGTTTATCTTTTTAGTTACCAAATTAGGTCTTTGTCATGGTCTCTGCAATTTAGGACACATACTCTGAAAGGGGTACCTCTTGAGATTCATTGGATGAGCTGCCACACATTATATCTATTGGAAGCTTCAGTTATCTACCAGTTAACAACATGGATGGTGTGTAACATGTAGTGTCAAGTTGGAGCTCCGGTATGCCAGCAGAAAGAGAGGAATCAATTTATCCCATTCTCTTTCGTTTTCAGACAAACATCGAGAGGTACTTATTTATGGTTCGAGTATGCCTCTTAACCATTCCATCGGACTGTGGGTGAAGAGCGGTTGTTCTTGTCTTCTTTATTCCCAACAAACTCATTACTTCCTTACATGAATCCGATTCGAAGTTGCGGCCCTGATTCGAATGTAACTCCTGGGGTACACCGTGTTTAGCAATTATGTTCTGCAACAGAGCTTCTACCACCGTTTTAACCTCTTGGTTGGGAAAGGATACTACTTCATGGTCATTTGGAGAAATAAACCATCACAACCATAAGGTAATTGTTACCGGATGTGGTCATAGGAAGTGATCCCATAATGTCAACTGCGGTTCTCTCAAAAGGGCACCTACTGAGGTACTGTTTTATCATTCCTCTTTGCTTTGTCTCGTGTGTATTGCGAGGTTTGATTTATATATTATTGGGTTCATGTATGCCTTTTTGTGCTCGTCGTACCTTTGCCATACAAAAAAAAACATAATTTTCTTCCACCAGACAACATAAAACAAGTCAATAAGGGAAACGATATGGACATTTGGGAAAACTTAAACATCCATAAATTTAACACTCATAATCCACTTATCGAGGAATAAATACAAATCAAAACACAACTAGACCTGCGTTCGGACCGCATAAATGGACAAATAAGAAAATGACACGTTCAATTTGAGTAGAGCCTTTTTGGTAACCGTTTCCTGTTTGTATTTTCAAATGTAGATTTTCAAATTCTAATTATTTGGCATGGACGCCTCAACAGAAATCGCGTTGTGTAAATCAGTTTTGGACATTGAGCAGGAAACTTCGGATTTGACTTTGAAATTGTAGATTTGAAAACCTGACTGCACAAAAATAATCGAAGTGTGACTGAGTAGATGAGAAATGACATTTTTTTCGCAAACGAAAAATCTAAAATGTGATGATCTGGTAATGAATTTATTGAAAAATGAATAGTGACTATCCAGAATGTCTACAATTTCAATAAATTCTATATAAAAATCCGCAGCAGCACTACGGATTTCCGATATATAATTTAATTGAAAAATTAGGTAAAACAAAATTCTGAGTAATAAGTTTCAATTCTCTTTTTCTTAGCAATAGTTTTTTCGAAAACTCCCTTTCAGTTTTTGGAGGTATGATGTTGTTCAGGTTGAACATAATGAAGTGGAGATTAACCAATGTTTTTTTATTAAGTTGACTGTTCATGACGGTGAATACGTCATATCATTATCGATTATAACCTGCAGAAGACATTTCAATCAAAATAAAAAAGACTTGGAATATTTCAGCACAGAAAAAATTTGATCAGGTTGAATAAACATTTATTTGAATGGAGTATTATTCTTCAATTTGAGAACTACTGACAAAAATTGTTGGATAAACTAATAAACACGTAGTATGAAAAAATAACATAATTTCTAATGAAATGAAACTACAACATGGGTAAAAAAATATCAAATGAAAAATTTTAATATTATTTCTTCTTTCTATAACAACTGTAAACGTATTCTTTGATTGCAGCCCAGTTTCTATTTTTTAATAATGATGAATATTTCTTTTCCTTATATTTTAGATACAAACAAGAACTAATTCAATTCTAGCACTTCTTTTTTTTNCATATCTGAGTATGCATAATCGGAATTACCAATATTTTGTTATTTTAAACAAAAATAGGTAGGAAAAATCTCTCGAAGAAAGGATGAAAGCAATAAATTTCAATATAATTGCTTACAGAGATGTGTAGATCATGCAACGCAGTAACTTTCAGAAACAAACTGGAAAAAAAGCCCTTTCGAAACCATTACTTTCATATAAACATTAAATTACACGAATGATGAAATACTCTCTAAACGACCACTTCCATATGAACATTGAAATATACAAAAACAGTTTGTCCTATTCGGTTTGTACTCTGAACATTCGTTATGGAATTGAATCAGATATCATTCGTAAGATAACTACACAATAAAGTATATGAAAGTAGTAACATTTTACTCACATAGAACACTGTCATCCTCAAAGGCGTTCATCCGATGTTTCGGAATAAGACACTTGCCTCATGACCTCTTCAGTAGCAATCTCGTTAACACAACACGATGAAGCACTCAATTCATTCATTAAATTACGACTTTATATGACGAATGAGTTAAATCTACTCATGTCATCAATGACAGTACGCAATGACTTTCATCCACTTATCTGATTCAATTCCAGGAATAAGAATCTTGTTTAACTTGGAAAAGGTATATTTTTAGGAGAGATTAACATTTTGGGAAAAAAAAGTTTTGACTTTGTTAATCCTTATGTCAACACAGAAAAATGTGGAAATCTTTCAGAGAAAGAAAGACAGCAATTATGAACTATTCACAAGGATATGTTGTTACTTACACATTTTATTTTTAGCTTCCTTTCTGAATCAAAATCGTAGAATATATTTCAATTCATACACTAACTCAACTCGATTTTATCCTGTATATGTGGATATTATTAATTATTGTTGCATTTATTCTTTATTGTTCAATTTTGTTATACTAATTTTGGTTACTCCAACGGGCTGATCAGTTACCTTGGCCATCTACGGTAGAATAGTAGCCGTCCATATTTCCTGTCGAGAATAGGTATTCGTAATCAATCAAGGTGAAATGTTTCCTGCATTAAGGGACCCAGCGCTATTGCCAAGTTACCCTGATAATTTTCTCTGCTCTCTGAGGGTGTTACATCACTGGTTTTATTCTACTTTTCACGGTTATTATTTATTGTGAGTCACTGTTATGTGAGATAATTAGGCTGACTTTGTTATATAAAACCTTCAATAACAAAAGTAGTACAATTGTTATAGAAATACATTTATTTATTGCTATTGCCATCTGGACAGTAATTCCTCAACTATTTCCTGTCAGCTGTTGCAGGAACTGTCTAATATCGATTTTTGAAATCGATTACCGATGTTCCTTCTCATAGTTTTTTTGGAAGTGAAGAGAGGAAAGGAGCCATCTTGTACATGGTCTTTGAAAGAAACACATCGGCCCAAATTTTCGAAAGTGGTTAAGTAATTGGCATTATTACCTTAGAGTGGGGATCGGCATTTTCGAAAGTTAAGTAGTGATTATAGTACCTTCTATTGTCTCTTGTTGGTTTTTGAGAATCTGTTAGAGGTCAATCACGTCCTTTGATGGGGATTAAAGCCCCTGAACCGTTGAGTTGTGTCAGAGTTTTTTTTTTATTTTCAAGATTTTTACCTAATTAAAATTGATTTGCAAGCAGCTAAAACCCTTTTCTGAAGGTAGGAATGACTTTATTGATTAGTTGTTATTTTCCTTTATTTTATTAGGAAATTAGTATACATTCAATTCGTGATATTTAGTCTCTGTATCTGTCGTAATCAAATATAATGTAACACGTTGCTAATGACCCTCGTGGTCGATGCAACTTTTTTTTTCTTAAATAAAAAAAAAAGTATATTTTGAACTGTATCACCTAAATGCAACAGTCACAACAATTCTTTTTCACGAAATACTGATAGAAAGTAAAATGGCATGGCACGCCGTTTAACTTTCAATTAAATTCAAACAAATGATTTGTTATGTGAATTGAGGAATTCATATTTGTAACAATAAAAATTGAAATGGCGTTCCATAGTTAGGTGTTTACTATATTGCGAGTATATTTTATAGCCACAATGCCGATCGAAACGACTTCATATATTGTATCAGCTTTTTGTAATATTCCTGGGGATCTGTTTGGGATTGGAATCGACTTTCGTTTTCTTTAATGGATGGCAATTTTAATTTTTGAGTAGATATTTGTTTCACACATTAGGGAAAAAAT